TCTTCTGAAGGGAAGGAAGCCCCCATCCAGGGGAACTCCATGGAGCAGATGCATGTTAGGATGCATCTCAGGTAGCTTGACAAAAAACTTTCTGGAACACACGATGGTAGAACAGATGTCCAGTGCTGCATTTTTCTACCAAAAACAAGCATGATTCAAATGATTAAGCTGAAATTAAAAAAAAATACTGTTTCTGTGGAGAGCGCGATGGAAGACAGCAAGCAGAATGCAAATTTACACACAGGCACAGAACATAATACATTCACAAGAGAAAGGAAGTAAAAAGAATTTAATTCTGTCTTCATTTCAGAAATAAGTATCGCCTACACTAGCCTAACATTATCCAAGTCATCTCAATGTCAAATACAAGAAGAAAACCTCCTCTAGTAAATTAAATAATATACTGTTAACATTTAACTGCTCTGCCTGCATCACATAACATAATCCAATTTAATACTATTCCAGTTAAAAAATAAAGCCTCGATACTGAAAATGTTTACTCCACATAAAATATCTTTATTAGCATGAGTCCTTCCACTACTTTATATACAGTACTTGCAAAAACATCCTCTCTGTGTGATTTTGCAGGATCAAACCTTTATTTTGGCATCTTTTCCTGGTTGAAGAAAAAAGGCAGTATCAGCCTACACTGAAATTAAATTAAGGAAATCACCAAATTATACTAATGTTAGAAAAAATGTAAGTTACAGAAGCAATTTTAAACTAATTTTAATGTTGCTTGGGGTTTTATTTTAATAGCTATCAACATTCAAAAGATGAACTGGTGGATAAAAAACAAATGGGTGGGACTAAAGCTTAAAAGTGTAATGCTATCTCCTTTCTGAATAATTAAGTCTCATATCAGTATAAAAACTACTTTTACCCCAAGAACAAAATCCTTTTAAACTCTTTTGGCTTATGTCCATTACTGCTTAAACTAATTAGCAATGCTATCATCTGACAAATTTTATTTTAAACTTTCAACAACAACAACAACAGCTCAGTGAGAAGTATTAGCAGGTGGTTGGAAAAGAGGATTATAACTGCATTAAATTAACTCAGTTTTGGCATATACACATTTTGGTAGCTGTAGTGTTAAACACCAGTGATTATACCCATGGCTACAGTAGATACACTGTCACCTGAGGAGGAATTTAAAAGGACAGAAAATTTTCATTTAACTTACAGGTTTGTAAGAGTATAACTGATTCCAGAATTTGGCTTCCACATTAGTGACATGAAAGGAGAGCATTTTCAATTATTTAGAAAGGTAACATTTAGTAACACAACTTTTAACTTGTTTAGGAAAGCAACACAGTCTAATGAAACATCCCTATAATAAAAATTATGTTAGCATGAGACAATGCAGATACCATAACTGAAATTATGATAATCTAAGTTTTGCAATGCATTTATCAATGATGAGTAAGTTTTAAACATGGACTTCTGAAAACGTTAAAAATGGGAATAATAATTATAGTTCTACTATGTTAATGCTTGTACTAAAACAGCCACTTTCTATGTGTTGAACCGAAACAGAAAGGAAAAACAACTGAGCTTCAACACTACAAAGCTATTAAGGATCCCTCACCTTAGAGCAGGCTTTTTCAGTTTGCATGCATTGAGAAGATTCACAGACCTGCTTAATCCAGATTGAGAGGTGCGTTAACAAAGCAGAATAAAAAGTGAATGCAACAATAAAATGTGGAAACAAGACATTTAAAGCAAATTTACATTAAGAGACATAATTGCATGCTTTCAAGATATGAAGTCACATGCAAGAGTAAACAACACAGTGCTTATTGACTCAGTTAGATGTTTGATCATTTCAAACCATACATTTAAGAACACCAATGTATCTTTGAATGACAAAAATCTCAGCAATATTCCAATACACTGACCATTTCTAAAGCGAATTAAAAAAAAAGAAAAAAGAAAGAAAATCAAAGAGGCTATCTGAAGAAACAAGACAGATGATCCAGCTAGAAGACAAAGACTGTTAAAAAAGCAACCATAAAGACAAGAAAATAAATCCTCATATATACATACATATACCATTGCATAGCATGAATGTTTCAGATGGTTGCATTACTGAATTGTGGTGAACAAACCTGGCCAAAATTAAAATACAAATATATTTAATTACCAAAAGGGAGGGGGGGGAGGGAAGAATAAAAGTTTTTCAATGAAATAAATTTAAAAATAGCGCATAATGCTTTCACAGTAACTGATGATATTAATAATATTTTGAAACCTGTCTAGCACTCTTTCTGACCCTCATTTAAATCAATTAGAATAAATGCAAGAATAATATATGACTTTAATTTCATTATGCCTTTGAGCAAAATGCACTAATAACTTTCATTGTTAGAGGTATAGTGAAGCGGCATAATAGTTTTGCCCCTTCAAGTTCAATGGAGAGGGATTTCTTTTTTAATTTATATTCAGTTTATTTTAAAACATTTTCTTTGAGAGTGAAGTGTTAAATATGAAGGTTCGATACAGAGTTTGTATGTGCGCCAGTTACAAACCATCGCTGCCCCAGAACAGAACGCAGAACATTAATTCCAGGCGACTGAACAATTTCCTAGGGGCCATGTGTTTAGACTTTAGAAGAACAGGAATTTATCATATTAAAGTATTTTATTCTCCCTTACAAACAAAGCTCTTTATGTTTTCTTTGTTCCAGCTTCTTCCTTTTGATCTCCATTGTCAGAGTTTTGCACCATTGTAATACTTTGCAATCTGCTGGGGGAGAAAGAATGACTGATTGTCTCCTTTTGAAAAGCAAAGTATGTGCTAGCCTGCAGCCTGCAGCAGCATCCCTACTGGGAAAGGTACTGCCTGCATTCTCCTCCCTTAATCCCCCCCCCACTTTTCCCCTCCTCAACTCTTGGAAACAAAGCTAGATGAGTCACAAAACCCTAGATTTTAATGGGGAACACAAAACATTTACTACTGTGCGCTGGCCAAATTCCAAAGACAAATTTAGTGTTAAGCAGGGAAATTCAAGCCACATTACATCTGAAAGGAAGAGTGCAGGGGGGATGGAAAGTTCTGCTCACGATACACTAAATTCATCTTACTCTGAATGAAAGCTGCAAATAATTATTCTAAGCACAAAGTTCAGCATAAAAATATGTCATTCAAAAAGCTGGTACTCAAAATAGCTTAATACACTTCTACAGCATAAAAGTAGTGAATATATTAAATTTAAAAATCAACCCCCCTGAGCAAAGGCTTTTTGCAAAGACGACTTTGAAGCATTTTCCATAGGCAGACAATTCTTGATTATCTGTGTCAGGTGATTATCCGGAGCATCGCAAAAAATCACTTCAGCTCTGCGTTAGCTGGCTTGCAGCTGGAAGCCGCCCAGCTGTGCTTGCACAGCAGCCCATCACCTGAGCGCGGCACAGCGCCTGTTGGTGCTGGGCCACCATTTTTGGTCCCAGCATCACCAGGCTTTCTATCTTGCATTGTGTTATTACCATATACTTTTATAATCTGACTGACCTACGCTTTGTATTTGTGCTTTTGCTCTACTCTTTCCTTAACTTGGATAATTGGGTGTTTTCTATACGAGATCTGCATGCTGAAGGGGGGTTTGGTGCCCTCAATTCTAATTGAAGTCAGAGTCAGTTGAGGTTACTCAACACTCTGCAAGATCTGTATCTAATTACCACATTAGGCCCTATAACAACTTACTGATACCCAGAGATACACGTTTTACATATGGAAAACCAATATGCACAGAGGTTAAATGATTTGCATAAGGTCATTGAGAGAATATGTGGCAGAACTCAAACAAAAGCCTGCTAGTTCCACCCTTTCAGCCTTGAGCCTTTTTTATTACCTCCAGTTTTATATTCCTGCCAGAAGAAGTAATTTCCATTTCAAATATTAAATGGGAAATCATAAAATGCAGTGGACTCTGAACCACATCTCCTGGGTAATCCAGCAAGGTGGATAAGCCGTATACCAACCTGTGGGTTCAAATGAGTTAACGAACATATTCAAATAAAGCTATTGTATGAAATGAGATTGTGTCTGCAGACATATCGATAAGTACATCTGTTTCTAAGCAGTGGAATGTATGGACGCACACTTGGTCTCCATGGTGATTATTTGCATGTATTTATATAAATATGCACAACATACTGTTTCAAGGGACAGACTGATGCAATTTCAGTTGGCTATCATCCACCTCCTAACCTAAATTGTGAAAGTAGCAGAGAATGGAAGAATCAGAAGTTATTTATTTTTTATCCACCTTTTCATAACTGTGTTCAGTAAAACACCTGGGAGGGACTTGATTAACCTGGATGTTTGTCTCTTTTGAAGATAAGGTCATAGGTAAGGAAAAAAATTGAAGATTATGTTTTTCTAGTATAGTAATCCTAGCAGGTATTTGTAATTCACAACAGCAGACCAAAGGTTTAAAAGACTCAGAAAAAATACTTTTTCTTTCCTTTTTTTTTTTTTTAACTTTTCTTTCACTTTTCAAATTTTACTTTTTCATATCTTGAAAAAAAATTCAGACGTCTTGGTTCTGCACATGTATTGTATAGTAAAAGTATTAAAAGTATCCAAGCTGAAATTAACACTTAATTCTATTTAGAGTTGTCATGCCAAATTGCCATATTTTGGACTAAAGAATATCTACACTACAAAGTAGTAGCAGTTTTAGAATCAGTTTATATGAAAAGAGCACTATAAAATGATGACAAAAATCATAACTAAAAAAATTAAGAAACACATTGAACACTCAGTTCAACACTGAGTGAAGCTTAACGCAAATAAACAAGTTCCACCTCTTGAAAGCAAGCAAGCTGTTTGATCCTGCTGCTATATTTCCATTACTGTTTTGTGCATACACATATAGAATTCCTGAATGTAAAAGGGTCCATTACAGATATGAAGTATGAATGAATTCGTATTAATGAGTTCATAATGAATTCATCTACTTGGCTATCTGCAACTAGGCTACTTAGCACACTTAATATATCATCCTTAAATATTGATTATTTGGAGCATGATTTACTATAAAAACATGAAATCTCAGCAGTTATTTTAAGATTCATTATCAAAGGTACTAAAAGTAGAGACTAATTTACCGAAAACATTTTGTACAGTAATTCATTGGTGAGGTCCTTACCATTCCACACACTTCATGTTGAAGTATATTTATAGGCAATGCATAGAAATATACTTCAATTTAATAAAAAATAAAATTTGCATATTAAATACAAACAATAGAGAATTTTAGAGGATTTGAAGGGAATAGGAATTCCACAGCACATGGACTTAAAACTGCTTTTTTCAGGACGTGGAATAACCCTGCTCTCCTCAGCCCTTATTAGTAAGTGTCCATCTATTTCAGCATAACTGCCCATGTGTATTTTTTCTTTTCCAAAACTGAACATACGTTTCCATACTGCATATTTAATGCACCTTCAGTCTAGCCTCTTCAGCAAAGAGAAGGGATAAAGCATAATAAAAGGACATTAAATCCTCATCCTGTGGAAGACTCATACAGGAATCAAGACAGTCCAAAAATGCTCCCAAAGAATGCTCCCTAAGGACTTTCCCACCAGCACACAAGGCATCCAGACTGCAGGTGAGTCAAGGTGGAAGGGCTGCAGGGTGTCACTTACCTACAGGGATCCTGAGCTAGGATAATGCCTACAGGCTGCAGGCAATACCTGACGGACCACCTAAATTACACAAAGGACACTCAGAATAGAGAAAGCAGGAGCATGACCTTGACCTGCACTTCATCCACCCTACTCTGGGGCAGAAAGTCCTACGCTGAACCTTGGAGATGGAGTGTAGAGACTCAGGAATCACACCCTCTGTACACAAGTGAAGTGTGCCAATGCTTGTGCTCTCTCATGTGTTTTATAATTACTACTTGAATCTTCATTAGTGAGAATGAAATTACAAGAATTAAGAAAAAAATTGTAAAGAAAAACTTTCTTTAAAAATTCAGTATATACAAAATAGTACTCCTTTTTAAACACTAACACATTTTTAAAAGGCAGGTTCTTTCACTGTAAAATTCTGCTAACATAATTCTGATAATGGACCAGTTTATACAGTATTTGCCTTCCTCCTCTTATCTTAAGGGCTGATTCAGGCAAACCTGCCAAAGCCTGCAGCTGCAGTGAGCTCCAGTTCATAGGAGCTCGTAGGAGTTCATTTGTGCAACACAAACACACACGGTATTTTCCAATTTTAATTGTGCACTATGTACGGCAGAGCTTCTCTCTTCTCTACAATAACAAAACCAGGAGTTTCCTGGAAAATCAGTCCCCTTCAACACAGTAACAAAGAGAGGCATATCCTTAGTCACCATCTCCCCTTGAAGGAAAAATTCTCTTTACAAAAGAGGCCTCAGATCTTAGCAGGTTAATGCTCTAACCTCCACAACTTGCCCTGCTCAGAGTTGACAGCATCATCATTACAAAAAGCTGAGGAGGACACACAGCAAAAGAAATGTTTAAAAAAAAAAACAAACCACAACAAAACCCCCACACTATTATCTTTTACAGGCAAACCATACAGCAGATTAGCACCACAACTGTCACGGGTAACTTGAACTTGTTGCACCCCATCCATTGCGTTCCTTATAACCTAGATGTATAAAACACATAGCTCACTTAAAAAAAACTACACACACAAAGCAAATTGAGATACAGCAGTAATTTTTAAAAGGACTTAAATACATGCTAATGGTAGGATATCTAAAGATGGATGTTTTCATTTGCATAAATACGTGCTAGGCATAGAATTCTCCTCCTCCCTGCACGCTTCTAACATTGCACATGCAGTTTCTGTAATTTTTAGTGAGAGAAAACCACCAAAGGTAACTGACCAATTTGTAATGATAGCAGTTTCTTTACAGATTATGTATTTTCTACTAGCTACTAAAAGAATTCCTGCACTATTTTTCATGTCATGTTGTGCAAGAGCCCAATAGAAATGCTTTATTATCCATATGCTAGACTGCAGTAGCAAGAAAATAACACAAACCAGTAGACTAAGCATTGTGCATTCTTTCAATATTTATGGTAATAACCTTAATTCTAATCAGACCAAGTAAGTTTAAAGCCTCTTAGAATGAAATCCATCTCTCCCTTTCTTTCTGAACTAAATATTTAGACTGCTGCTTTGCAAGTAAGAAAAACCTACATCTCTGGAAGCTTAAAAGAGGAGGTATACTATGTTTTCAATTTTACAATTGCAAGGTTTCTGACAGATGTGTACCTTTTTGCTGCTGGTGATACAGTCTCCTTTCTGGTTCCTGATGGGGAAGGTAAAGAGCCACTTGGTTTCTTTGGTAACACAGTTCCATTATTAACAGTAGTCCTTAAAGGCAGGGTTTGTACCAGCGGTCTTGCTGTAAAACAAGCAGAAGATGGGACAGTTGTTTTCATTTTATTTTCTTCTTTTTCCACAGCAAACAACATTAGAGTATTTAAAAGTATCTGTGTAGTATGCCATTTTTATTTCACTATTGACAATTTCACTATAGATGAGGGATTTAACAAGGAGGAATTTTTTTTCCCCATTTATAATCCTATCAAGGAAATCGCCTGCATATGGCTTAAGCACACAATTCTATTACCTGCCTCACATGTAAAACCCTGTCCTAGTTCAAGAAGGTTACTGGTAAGTGCAAAGCTAGTCATTGCCACCCAAACCAATCCTGCTCTCTTGAAAGAGCATCTCTCTGTTGCCCACCAGGATAGCATTCAGAGGAGTGCTAGAAATGAAGACAGGTTGCCATCCCAGAAACTCCTATTCTTTACCCCTCAACATTCTTGCACGTTTTCCACAAGCAAACGATCTCTTAAGAAATCATTATTTCCCCCAAAAGGTCCATTCTTTTAAAAGAATGTGGGTCTATGTTTAATAAAAAGGAATTTTACCCTTCAGTTAGAAAAAGCGATTGAAATCAGAAAAACAGTGGACTTAATGAGCTGACATTATCTACCTACGTTCTTCTGATCAAACATTGGCTCAAAAAGTGATATACATGTCATACCTTTATATAAGGTATATATATTTATATAACATATATATATTATGTATACCATACATATTAATACTAGAATAACAGAAAAGTTCCATTCAAGTAAGTTAGAAATCAGTTGCAAAAACAAGCAGTGGTTAAAACTGCAAGCAATGAGTACAAACATGAAAACTACAGTGGACCATGCCCTGAAACACAGACACAAACACAGCTAGTGCTCTCCCTACAGCAGGGGAGAACGCTGTGTCCATCACTTGAAATTTGACAGAACTTTGTATCACAAGCCGGCTTTCTAAAGATGCCAAAAGTCTCTGGATTCAGAGAAACAACACCCGAGAGAAGGCAGCCGTCACAAGGCATTTAAGGAACACAAGATAAAATTTCACTGAACTTGGAGAACATGGCAGAAAGAAAGCCTAAGAAATGTTCTTTGAAAAAAGACTGAGGAGGATAAATAATCTAAAAAGCAAAAATTAAAAAAATCTAAAAATTAATGACTGCATACAATACTAGGTTATATTATGATAACATCTTATTGTAGCACTGACAGCAAGCATTTATTGCCTTGTTCACCTGAAGTTTTCATATATTGAAAAACAGATGATAAATGTGAAAGCCTGTGCCTCAAGAGGATTAGATCAGTAAATATGGTCTACTCAGGAACACAAGTTCCAAGAGAAACTTGGTCTTGAAACTTTGTTAAAATATATACTTGCTTGTCATGTATTCATCATTTATTTGTTCAAGAGGGGAGAAAATTAGAAAACAACCCATAAGGAAATACTGACGGAATGAGGCTCTTTGGGTTTAGAAGACTTCGAAAGATGACATGAAAACAACTCAAACAAAAAAAAGAAAAAAATCTTCTCCATGCTCACTGGGGATCCCAGAGCCTGTAACCGCAGAAGACTGATAGGATGAGACGGTATTGTTTTTACCAAGGATAGGAAGAGCAAGGGCTCTCTGATTTTATGGTGCCTTCCAGCCCTGGCTTCTATGATCTATTTTAAGAGCTAATGCTGTCTTTAGAGCTTATACAAAACACCTAAATCCTACTGTACTTTGGCTCCTCATGCTTCTATTTTTTTAATCTGTTTTTTTTTTTAATTAAGGGATTCAGATATCATGATCCTATTTATTTCTACAGTATTCAGTCTTCCAAATTCAATTCCTTCCACAGTTGCATGCTGGATATTTTACTGCTTGTTTCCTAAGTGCTGCAATGCCGTAATTAATTTGTATGTATAAAACTGATTCTATTGCATATTACAGAAGCACAGATAGCTACACTTGAGCACCTGTAGGCTTGTTTCCTAACCAGATTTCTGTAGCTCACAAAACTTTAATGAGGTTTTGAGGTCACGCATTAGAACAACAATTAAAGTTAAATAAACAAATTAATAAAATTTTTTCCGTCTTTATAGTCATATAAAAAACGCCTACTAAAAAGTAGCTGGAGTGAACTAGCTGGAGTCTATTCACTCTCCTAACCTTATGAAACCGCAACTATCAGCAGCCAGGAATAAACCCTACAACCTTGAACAGAGGGTTTGCTTCAAATCCAGCACCAACCCAGAACCCACACTTCTGGAGCTGGAGATTTAAAGATCTAGCCCCATGATCAGCTTGCGTAGGAAGCAACAGCACAAAATGCTTACACAGCACACAGAAAAACTATACATTATTCAATTAATCCATTATTTAGTCTGGAGCGACTTTATTTACAGCAGCTAGTTCACACCAGTGGTAAGTGATGTAAGAGTCAAAACAACCTCAAACATGTCACTGCTGTTAGAAGTCAAACACATTGGTATTACTGCTCTGTCAGTAACATTTATTGTGGCAGTTCTGTTGCTTCAAGGTCTTACCTGTGGTGGCAGGACTGACATGTTTATCAGCCTCAGCAGCAGCTTTTTTAATCATACTCTGATCTATGGATTAATAGGGCTGTTAAGTTTACAAACAAACCAATAATCGCAAAAGGAAAGAACAACAAACACAAGTAAAACAAAGGCAGGAAGCCATACTGAACTCCACCAAGTAGTTGAATTAAATAAGGAAAGGGGGGTGGGAGGAACTCAAACAAAATACCAGAACACCATTAAGTGAAGGAGCTCCACAAATGGACAAGATAAACAGCTCGCTTTCCATGAGGTACACTGCTTTTAAGCTGCCTACCTGGAGTCTAGAACAAGACGACACACAAAGACTGAAAACAAGCTCAAGCTTTTTTCCATTACAGGTTTGAAAGCCTGAAACTTGAAATCTTGAAACCAATTTTAAATCTGAAGTACTCAGAAAATGTCATCTTCTGTCCCATGAAGCTTCTTGTTCCAGACTTTAAGCAGTACACTGGGGATCCTGTTTTCCTAAGGCACGAACCTCCCCCCGGCACACACGTGCTTTTAGTCCCGCTACTTCAGCTATAGATCAAATGAAAGCGGCAGCATACAGCTTCAAACCCCAGTCTGCATGGATGAGATTTTTGTGACACTTTGTGAGCTCAAATTCCTTCTTACAATTCTAAACGCGGAATTTGTCATTAAATGATCAACAGAAAGAAAATGCATTAAGTCCCACGCAGCCCAAGTGGCAAAACCCAAGAAGCCATCACTCCAGTTCCACCCATGTGGAAGGCAAACCCCTCTCCTAACAGTCTCCATTACGAGCCCCATAATGCTCTTCCAGCACTGAAATTCAACTTAGTCTTATGCTAAGTAATTGCATGCAATTGTTATCAACTAGTTGTTCCTACTACAGCAAAAACAGGCCATCACGTGAAACGTACCGTATTTTACAAAACAGCTGGAAGAAACAAATGATCAGGATAGTTCAGATTTGGTTTTACGTTGCAGAGTACATTTAATAAGGCTGACCATACACTAATGATACAACTGATATATAGTAAAATTAAAAGTGCTTTACATAAATCGTTACAGCAGCAATTATTTCCAGAAATTAGTGGGATTTAGTTGGCAATTATCAGGACTCACTTCAGTAATATGTAATAGATGAGCAATGGGCTTTGTAGTCCTCCATTTGCATTATCACAGTAAAACTTCTTACACTGTCATTTCACATACACATTAAGAAGTATCCATGTCATACACACATTTAATAAAAAAATAAAAAAACCCACCACACAACAGCCATAGAAGGCAGAAGGATAGGCTTACAGCAGCTTGTCTTCAATGTACATTGAACTATGCCTTTAACGATCTGCCATGACCAAGAAAGCATCTCCTGATTTAGAGTTCAACTGTGCTCACAGAATCCATGAAAATCTGGTCTGTATTTTGCTAAGTAAAGCCAGCAGGCAAGAAGAACTGATTTGGTTACAACTCAGTAATAATTACTAAACTCTATTTCCTCCACACATCAGATAATATCTATTTTACAGGCAACATAAAGCCTCCTAATCCCTTGTACAATCAGATTTGGTGGAACATTTTATTACAGTGGAGGCTATCCTTAGTAACATTTAACTTAACTGACACTTTTTTTTTTTTGCAATCAAACAGACAAAGACAAAATGAGAAGAACAACAGAAAAAGAAGAGAACAGGAAAACAAGATCACAGACAATTACTGCATATTCTGTCCAACAACTAGCATGATACCCGACCAACTGATCTGGCTCTCTTACTCTCTCTCTTTCTCCTTTCCTTGTCTCCAGACACAAAACATTATAACAAACACAACTTCTCTTTTCAGCAGATTTAGTAGTTCCTTACCTAGTCTGTTAAAATCAATGCCTAAAATTAAGTATCTGTCACAAAGTCACAAATATATAACCAAGATGAAAGGAGTCCTAATTTCCAGCTGAGAAAATTATGAATCCATAATCACATATCATACTTCTCATGTGAATTCCATTTTTAATTTATATTAATACATATCAGGACATCAAAAGAAACAAGTTTTTAATTTAGACAACAGAGAGTATGCGAAGTCAGCCATACTTTCTTTCCACATCTAGGTTGCCACCACTCTCACTCTTAGGACTACCCAAAAATACCTCATGCATTTCGGCTAAGCTGCAGACAGGCAGTCTCCCAGGCTTTTGCAGCCTCACAGGCTACAGCAAATCAGACCGGTTGGGTTCTAATAAATCTTTACTACTGCGAAGCACTGGATGTTCAACTCCAGCTTTTCCGACCTGTGTCCAGACTGACCCGCTCCTGCGGAGCAGGAACCGCCTGGGTGCAGCACGGCGTATTGCCGGGTGGCAGCGTCTGCCACACCTGCCACCTCGCCGGCTCTGGATCTGCAGCGCTGGAACAGGGTCAGGTACCAAGCACAGCTCTACTTTCCCTTCATACCTGAGCAGCTGGTGTTGCGCCATCTCCTCGGTCATGTCAACTCTGTTCTAGCTCAAAGCTCTGTCCTCAGCTATGTCTGCACCATCCAAAGACACTTATGACATTTTTAATTAAATTAAAACTATATTTTACTTTTTTTTTTTTAATTAAAAACCCCCCAACTATTACGAGTTTCACCCGCAGATGTTGATGCACTGCCTAAAGAGTTTATAAATGGATTCATCTTGATCAAAAGTCAGAAAGTGGTAGCCACGCTTAAATGTAGATAGTGGATTAAGCACTAAGAATACACAAATGCTTCACTGGTTCATGGGAACTGCAGAAGTCTCACAGATTTAACCACTTGGATTTTTGTGCATTCTTTTTAACAGGTTAAATTGCAGATATATTTTATTTTGAGTTGTTGATTTTTAGTATTTCAAAGACCTAAAGAATAACCTATCTTAATACATATAAAACACTCATTTGAATTGAACTACCTATTTTACATATATCTGAAATGCAAACCTTTGGTAGGTCCTTTCTTGTTCTGCATGGCCTGCTGTTCCTCTGTAATATTCAAGCGTCGAACCACATCAGCAAGGGCAGATTTGAGCAGCTGGATGTCATCTTCCTGCATCTGGACACGTTGCTCCAGAGAGGCAATGCGATCTGTTACCTCCATACTGCTTGCAGCAGAGGCACTGTCATCTAAGTAAAAGAGCAGAAAAAGATGCATTATCAGCAATGTATAACCATCAAGGAACACCACCTATAACTGGCTGCAGGTAAAACCAAGCTTTTTCCTTACACCTGATGACGTGTTGAAGAAGAAAGTTATTAAGTGACTAAAACAGAGAGATGGAAATAAAAAAAAATAAGTAAGATGAGTACCTAAGTAAAATGTGATAATGAGGTTGGCTTCAGGGCTACTTAATGTTAATTGCACCCCACTATTAATTATCTACATGTCTGAACCCGAGTGATCAACCATCACCCTTCACTGTTCTGCTCAACACAACATTCTGGCACCGGCAGGCATTCAGGTACAGCGCTATACTTTCTGATATGCTACACACCCTTCCAGATTTTTCCTTCTCACATATGTGACAGAATGTATACATGAGACATATACTAGCAACAGATAGGCTTACACTTTTTCAAGTTATCATCCACAGACTGGAGGATAGATATTAACCCCATCTGCTAACTCCTAATTTATACCAGCAGCTTTATGAGAACATTCCCTCTGACTGAAATAGAAGCATTAAATAAATTCAGAACTACTCAGTAATTGTACTCTTAGCCTACAAATTCTTAAAAGGGTCATCACTTTGCATACAATTCACCCATTATTTGGAAACAACCCACAGAAACTTAAAGCCTGCAACTCCCTCATAAGGACTACACATTCTTTCCGCCCAAAGCTAGTAATAAGAATATTTTTCCTAAATGAGCACTTTCGTTCCACTCCATTTCCTATCACACAGAAACACTGTAATTTCTTACAATATTAAGTTAGGAAAAAGAAGAAGAAGAAGAAGTAGTAGACAAAGAAGAAAAAGAAGAAGGCGACAATAAGCAATGCCAAAGATGTCGAAGTCAGTATCTATTAGAGAAAAAAATTGCACAGTTTTTAAGGAGAATTGCAAGGTTTTATTTAACTAGGTGGATTTGAAACCTAAAAAGAAGTTGGGTATTAACTTACTGGATCATTTTAAGTAATGTTAGTCAAGTGATGATTGGATTATAGCTTTAATTTTAAGACTTTAGCAAAAATTGATATTTATGCTACTATCTGCAATCATAATTGACTTCTCCCTCATTCCTAACGTGAGTCCACAGCACGTATTTCTTCTGTTAAAGCTGATCTCTCTTTGTGAAGAGGCTGATATTTGTTTTCATTTCTTGTGTACTTAATTCTCCTCCATTCCAAACCAGAGTTTTCCACTCCTTTTGTACAAGGGAATAAAATGAAAGTTAAATGGTCTGTGTTTAATAATAACTACTGTTGAATTTTAAAACAAAGTAAGTGTTTCAAACAGGAAAACAACAGCTTCTGAGTACATTTAAAAGCATGTCCAAAAACGTTCATACATACTGCATTTAAAATTAAAAAAAAAAAAAATAGCTATTCATCTCCAAACCACCCCAATACAAATTGTTTTTGAAATCTGTTTGTAAGCTGCGTTTTCGCTTCCCTACCACTCCCACACCCAACAGCTATCTGCTGTTACCAAAAGCAGAATTAGAAACGACTATAACAATATCAACAGTCCATAAATAGCTACAGGCTAATGTAGTTTAAATCACTTGTTAATTCTGTTATAGGGTTTTCAGAGCATATTTAAAAAATCAACATTAGGATATTATTAGGCTGAACACAGTGGTAATGTAAGTATCCGGTTCCGAACAAACTAAACCAAAACTCAAGTTCCTGAAAAATGCTGAAAAAACGTTCCCCATGACAAAGCTTTTCAAACTCTGGCCTAATCAGGCTTCTGCTCAGCACAGGACTCTGTCCTGCAGCTGTTACAGGTAATTAATCCCCAAACTCAGATTAGCAGCCATGCTGGCAGTGGTATGAGCTGCCTGTAGAACTTAACCTTTCCTTGTACAAACAAAAGGCCCACACTGCTCTAATGACCTTACACTTTAACTCAGCTGGAAATAACATGGATTAGCATACTGGACAATAGGCAACCAAATGAAAAGCTTGATTTAACCAATACAAGCAAAATTCAAACTTTGGCCATTCTGCCAAACTCAACACGGTATGGGCATAGTTTTCTTCTGAATTCACTCAACGAGAAATAGCCAATTCCCAAATTCAGGGCTGAGAAAGAAACCCAGGGAGAAATCAGTTGGTGTTAAAGTGATCTAGCCCTTGTTACAAAAAGAAAACATCCTCATTGAAGTATCAATTTCACTAATTTTTAAGTGTGTAGAAACAGTAATTTTGCCCAAACATAAATCTCCAAGTAGTACATCAGTGGCACTAGTTTATTTACAGTTCCCTAAGAAATCAATCCCACTAGTAACTACTAAGATGTCCATCTCTCTCTTCTTTCCCCTTCTCCCAGTTGCCACTATGACTCTTCCCCTCGCATCCTTGCTGATCAATAAGCACCAGCAAACCCTTCCTCTGGGCACAGCGCATCTATGCTTTCCACCATCACTGTTCTTCCTGGTCCTCGTGAATGGAACCCTCGTCCTTGCTGCAACCTACAACTTGCTTTCCTATGGTGGTTACCTCACTGGATGCTGTTCCCTTCCAAGGATGCAGAAAAAAATAAAATTTGTAACAACTTTCAGTAAGATTGCAACTGAAGACGAGATTTCTTAAGAGTCCAGTCACATTTCCCTTTGCCGCCCTCTGCATGCATATACAAGTAAGCTAGAAAAGAGCCACAGAAAACTATGTTTCCTGAAGAATGGAAAGTTCAATTATAAAGTAAGCATAACCTGTTTGTTATGCAAGTAGAGGATGGAATGTTCTTGCGGTTGAGATCATTACATCCGAGTATGTTGAGCAATAAAGTTGCAACTTCAGTGCAGCCAAATAAGCAAAGTGGTATGGTAGCAGAAAAGAAAAAAATAATTAATGATATAAACTAACCAAACAACAACAACAGAATCACAACAGATGTCATCTACTCTGCCCACAAGAGCAAAAGCTATATTGGTAGCCTAACTTGTGATCTGCCTCTGCAGTATACAGCTCATGCTCCCAGCAAAGAGCATTTCCAAGGAAATCTTTAGCACGTGTTTGTAATGCAATTTAGACAATACAGACATCTTACTATTATTGTTCCCAAGCTAATATTAAATTTAAAGTAACTATACATTTTATAGCACCTAGTTCCACGTTTTCTCACGGACAAAGCACATCCTCAAGGAACTTGCGCAGAGGGGGCTGAGAGGGGAGCACGGGGGTACGGAAGAGGCCACCGACTGCTGTGCTTTGAGGTGGTCCATCCTGGGGCTACCTGTCCCCTCACAGGGTCCACACGTGCACTCGCACAGCAGTGGGTTACCAGCATGCTTTGGTTGTACAGTTACGGTAACTGAGAGAAAAGCACTTTATAGTAATGATGTAAAGATCCTCAAAACACTTCAAGTGAATCCAAGGAAATAAAAAGCATGCTTTTAAAAGAAATCCACATAAGAGAAATTTGCAGTAATCATACACAACCATTACTGCACAGCTTTACAATATAATAAAAATATCATTATGTCAATACATGCTACTTTTTGTGACAGTAAACTCAATAACATTACAGCTCTTTAATAGTATCAATATACTTAAGACTTGGTGACCGCTGTGCAATCTAGCTGTCACAAAACCCCAGATGTTCACCACCTCGAAAGGCATATGAAGGAGTCCACAAAGCCAAGCAATTTGCCTTGAAGCGTTACATCTACTTATCAGTCACTACCACCACTTTTGCCCATGGACAGAACAGACATTGTATCACTTACATTGGTAGCATCGATAGCATGCTAGTATTAATCGTTACCTCTTTTTTCATCAATGGGAAGAAAAAGGACTTTTAAAGTTAAATTTAGGCAACCTGTTTTTAGAAATCTGAAGAAATTTAGAAATCACATTCCCCAACTGTTCATTTCTTTTCACGGATTATAATGCAAGTCTAAATCACTGTCTCATACACGTAAAGCTACATCTCATGAGATAAATGCCACCTACAATGTCTAAAATTAGATAAACTGAGGAGGTATCAATTCAGATGCCTGATTTTTCATTGTAAAACATATTTGTGGTAAAGCTTGGAAAGAAGAATCATTTGTCATTTATGCTTTGCTGAGATTCTGCAGGTTTCAAAGAGAAGGCAGCAAAAAAAGGGAATGTTCTTCATGCCTCTCTTTAAATTTTCCAACCAGCTAATCCATGATCTCATAGATTGGAAAGATTTATTGTGGCAAACTCAAAGACAATACTGAGTCAGATGATTAATCTGCTTCCAGAGAATCTTCCAGTTTTTCAGCAATTTATTACTTGAACTTAGCCAAATGTGAAGAAACATCTGAAGGAGAGCCAACAACAGGACATGTATGCTGTTTACAAGAATGATTTCAATATTGTTTCACTGTATGTAGGCTAAAGCAAAATTACATACTTACACTATTAGTTAGAAGGAAGTGCATTAAAGTGCATACTATGTTCTATAGACCTTACCTGCTGGAAAACCTACATCTGAACTGTATATTAACGGTGTAGGAAATAATTAAAATAGACTTGGCATTTTCCCCCCAAAAAAGAACTACTTCATTAAACATATTCCACCTCTGCCTTATGCAGACATTAATTTTAAGACTATCTGTCCAGCTCAGATCATTGCAGCTGATGAGGTAGTGGAAACATTAGGTACGGATTCTCAAAAGACTGGCAAACAAATTTGGGTTTATTCAATCTACATGGTCTCTTTGGAGCACCAATTAACAGGATCCAATTGTACACGAAGTACTTCCAAAACTTTTCAGGATATATTCTGTGCATTATATGTTTGTGAAGTACCTAGCACAATGGGGGGGGTGGTTGCTAGACACTATTATAATACATATTAAAAGCAGCATCTTAGAATCTTCACCAGAGTTGTCCCTGATGGACACTCTGCAGGACATCAGAAAAGAAAATCTAAGCCTCCCACGGATAGCAAATTCCAG